TTAAAATTCTAAGGGTTGGAACTAAAGTTTTTAAGGTGACTTTACATGTTCCAAAACTTGAGGGCAAGTTTCGTAACTTTCACAACTTTTCAACTTTCATAACTTATGAGTTAATGGTTTATTAAAATGAGAGGATTTTCATTTTATGTAACCTATGTGTTCATTTAATGGACTTTAAAAGAAAGACTTTTGGTAATCCATAACATAAGGACAAATTATGGATTCCATTAAAACACATAAAGATCAAGAATTAAACTAACAAAATAATTCCTATGATCTACCGAACTCATAAGTTTATGAACATTCATATCAATAATTTCAAGAATCATAAATAACACATACAAAACTTGAAATTTTGATAATAGCCATTGTAAATGGATTAGCATAACCATTACACCATCTAAAACAAGTTTTATAAGACCAAAACAGTTTAGGGTAATGTTTCTAGTCCATTTCCAGCAGCAAAACTCGATAATCTGCATTCAGGGGCTCCTACTCGTTGAGTGCAAGCACCTACTCGACGATTAGGATGAATTATCACATGGACTCGTCGAGTCCCCCCATGGACTCGGCGAGTTCATGTCGCAGAATGCAGAAAACTTGAGTTTTTTCAACAATTTGCATCAAGTATAAAAAAAAACAAGCCTAGTCTCTAATACCACTGAAGCGTTTAGAGCATTCTAACACTCCTAAGGTGTACATGCGACCCTAGAAACTTGGATCTATGTTTTACTAAGGTACATGAAAATTTGATTTTCCAAGGTTCTTAACCTATCTAGCATGACATGGGGAAATTTGAAACAAAAAAGCTAGTAGGAAGAACATGCCTTTTAGTTGCTTGGATTCCTTGAGAACTTTGTGAGCCTAGCACCTCAAGTGTGATGCCTCAACTGTTTTACACAACACCACAACACTTGGAATAACTTTGAGCGAAATCCACACTCACTCAAAATCGGCTAGCCCTCTTGTTCTACACATAGTACCGATTTTGGTAGCCCATGGGGTCCTTTTATAGTTGTGTCACAAGTAGGGTTACACCATGTAAACCCTAATTGACATGGCTTTTCATATTCCATGATCCATGGGTTTATAACCTCCATGGAGCATCCATGGAGCACCTTATGGATTTAGCTTAATCCAATAAACCATGGATCATTAGCCCACTATAAAAGAATGGATGATTTACACAATCAACCCCATATATTTAATTAGTCTCCTTTTGATCACCAAATTAATTCTAAACTAATTCTTGATCAATACTAATTAAATAATATTATTAATATATTAGAACTTATAATATACTAATAAACCATAAGTGTCGTTTATCTCATTTAGTCTATCCAAATGTTGTAATGTCATGCACCCCAAATGGACTATGTCAACCGGGTCAAGTACATTCCAGAAATAGTTATGAACTTAGACACCTAATCCAACAGTTTGATGGGTATTGTGCGTGTGTTCCATTCTTCAGAAAGTTTCCTTATGTGGACGAAACCGAATCCACCATCTCCCATCAAAGTATCTGAACTGAAGTTACTTGTGGCCCGTTGGATCTCTTTCAGTGGAATTCGATACTTTTCTAGGTTTCCCCTGAAGATGACATTGCTTTTTGATATGTTGGAGATTTTGTTGAACAAATAAACTGAATAAGAAAGCACCACGCATGGTGATTATGTATGGTAGATGGAGGTTTATGGTTACTGTTTATATAGATGCATGTTTGTCTCGACAGAGTCCAGTTTGTTTAAAAACATGTACCTATATTGACCTTGGCTTAAAGAATATTTTATTTAATTGTGGTGAACGAAAAGGTGGAAAAGAGGGGTGTAGTGAAAACTGTCCAGAAGGCCGATTTTGTTGTGGAGGTTAAAACTATCCATATGGTCTTGTTTGTTGTTAATGTTGATTTCCCTTGCTCAATAGAAAGGGGTACTGATATTTTCAATTGTTTGAAGAAGGTACACTCATCAAATGCAAATCTAGGATGATTTTCAGAAGAGTTATGGGGCCATTGAGGAACAACAAAGATAGTTGCAGTAGTAACAGAGTTAGACCATATGTCAACATGTGACTTAATACCAGTTTCTTAAACAATTAACTCATGAACAACTGAAACAATAGTGGATAAAGGTGTATGATGCAAGATAGATACGTGTAGGCCTTTGAAGGCAGAATGTAAATCAATTAAAAAACTGAACCAAATGATGCTCATCCCTTCTGGAAATGTAGCGATGGAAAGCCTTCAGGTCAGCCGGTTCAATAAGAGCCAACAGATCCCATAAATCAGACATGGAAGCACAAAACTCTTGAATACTCAGACTGTCCTGTTGGAGGGCTCACATATCAAACTCTAACTGATATTGGTTTACAAAATAAGATTGTGTGTATAGTGTAACAACGTGATCCTAAAATCCATTGCAGCGTCATACTTTGCAAACTCTATACCAATAGACTGAATTACATAATAGTTAATATAAGTGATAACCTCGGAGTTACCAGTCTCCCATGATTGCAATAAGGTTGCATAATTTGCAGCCTTCTCATATGTTGGTTTGTTTCGTGTACTTGCCACAATTCCCCACATGTTCTTCCCTCGCAAAAAATTCTTCATAACATAACTCCGGTAGCCATAGTACTTGCCATCAACTTGGGTACTAATGGACTAAAGAAAGACATCTTTTGGAGCCATATCGACGATAACAAGCAGAAAATTCTTATCGAAATCGGTATTCTAAACAAAAAACATGGCACGAATATAAAATCATGGTGAGATATTAGCGAAATTCTTATCGAAATATGTACTCTGAACTAAATATGTAGCACAAATATCAAATTGCAGTGAGATAGCAACGAAAATGTTATTTTCGCGGCGGCAACACCCAAATCACGACATGAAAAACTACGAAAAAAACCCAAAATCAAACGAATATTAGCAATAGTCGAAACCCTCGAACAATCCAAAAAAAAACAAACCAAAACAAAACAAATACGGAAACTTATCAAAAGGACTTACCCAAAAGTCATAAACAATGGACCAAATATTGCTCTGATACCATGTAAACTTATGAACAAAATACTACTAATTTTCATTACTGAAATAAAAAATACAATTACAACGAAAGGAAAAGGACGATATAAATAAGAAAACTAATTTCCTTAAACATAGTTAAAAAGGTAAAGGGCCAAACATAGCACCCAAACCAAAAAGAGGCCTAATAGATTTCTTAGGGTAACACTTGATATGTTGAGTCTTTGTCGCTTGCTAATACATGGTTGAGAGGATTAAGAATCATGTCACATCAAATTGGTGTGGGTACGATGGAACTACACAAAACAACCGCATATATACAAAATCAAGAACAATTGCAATCTAGCCAGCGAGGTGGAATTTTCTGCTTTCTTTTGAATTAAAAATTGAGTTAAAAAATGAGATATTATCAAATGGTTTGAATATTAGTGTAATGATTAGTCGGGTATGCTTGTATTACGTTAAATCCTAGCTCCTTTCTATCTTTTCATCAACCAAATCTTGTTGTTATCAAAAAGAAACACATAAAAATATCACCGATTTATAAAGAGAACTAAAAAACAACACCTTTAATTTTAGAACATTTTCTTGGATACATATAAGAATTTTTTTTTGAAAGTTTGCATGTGGTATAATTCATGCTAGTTTATTTTCATTTGCTACAAATTCCACTGCATCCTCAATCCTGTCGACGACTTCGTTCATCGTGTAACGTGCACGCAATTCCCTGCCTCTTGGTGCACCTGGGCCCCTTCCACGGTTCCTCCCCCCCTTCCTGCTCATATCTTGCCTCCTAGGGCATCTCTTTATGCACCGATATGCAACTTCTATTAATATATTCAAACAACGGCTATCAATTTGATCTCTTATACAGTCATCAATGAATATGTGGAGTCCATTGTTCCGGTAGTACTCTTGAAATAGATCAAATTGTTCTTCTGGTTCAACATATCTCTTTAGATCACTAGCTCGACGTCCACTCAATATTTCAAACATTATGACGCCAAATGAGTACATATCTGATATATGTTCGACGTAATAATTGTGTGTGGGACCTTGTCTTGACAAACCAAAAAACGAAATTTTGGCTTCCATATTTTCATCTAACAATATGCTTTCACAGTTAATGTTCCCGCGTGTTTCTAGGTTCTCCTCCCCAAGAGCCAAATGAAGGTATTGCAGTCCTCTTGCAGCGCCTAGGATAATCTTCAACCGTTGTGCCCATGTTAGGGTAGGCAACTTAGTCCTCCAGACTGCAAGATGATCAGCAACGCTTCTATTGACAGCATATTCATGAACTATAATTCTCTCATTGGCTTTGTCACAGTAACCAATGAAAGGGGAGATGTTTTGATGTTGAAGACTGGAAATCATCCGGAGCTCCTTTTTAAAATCGTGGGGGTAGCTTCGGTAGCTTTTTGGATTCAAGCGGGTGATGGCCATTGTGCGGTTTTCCCACCGTGTATAGAGTTGTCCTCTATGGACAACACCATATTCATAGTCTCCGATACATGTTTCCTGATTGAAGTTTTGGGTTGCCAAGTTTATTTCCTCCAGTGGAATTAGAAAACTCTCTAGGCTTCGTGTGGTAGGTGATTCGTCGTGCTTCTGTGAATAAAAACATAACCAAATTTGATTAAAAAGTATTACAGAAAGGAAATAGAAAAAATACCATGAATAACAACGTGTTTGTTCTTTTATATGTATAATGATCAAGTATAAATGATTTATTTCCTTTAAAACGGATATCTTAACACGTCGTCATAATAATAATGATATATATAATAAGCATTCTAACTAATTTTAATATAAATAAAGTAAAATAGAAAGTAATATGATAATGACAAAATTAAAAAATTAAATTAAATGACCACTTGTTGGATTTATTATAACTTAATAAAAATCAAATTGACAGAGGATAGTTGAAATAAATAATAAGATAAATTCTTGGTGTTAGACAATAGACATTAATTATTTGTGGTACACCCAAACAATTAATGTCAACATCATGGAAAATTTGTAGAATAGATTATCCTATAATAAATCAGAAGGATTTTCTTAAAAAATGATTAAATGAAAGTCTTACCAATTGAATTGTCAAGGCCTGCTCAATCTTCCTGATGACCCTCTCCAACGTTGGGCGTTTCTCTAACTTCAGGTTAACACATTCATGTGCAATTTTGTTAAATGAATCAAAAGAGTTCATATCAGCATGATCTTTAATATAATGATCAATTAACTTGTCTGGCGCCGCAGCCTTTTTGTCATCGTCATAGACGCTTCGGACCACATCAATGAGATATTGCGGCTTAGCATCATCTCCAAAGCACTTTTCACGATAAACCAATGTCCCACTTGACATTTCAAACATAACCACTCCAAACGAGTACACGTCTGACTCTTTGGTGAGCCTGCTTCTTTCGTTGTAAACCGGATCCATGTAAAACCTTGTGCCCGCAACCTTTGTATGAACTTGGCTATCTTCCTGATTTCTTGCACCAAATTTTGACAAACCAAAATCACAGATTTTGGCTTCCAGATTCTCATCTAACAGTATATTTCCACTCTTCACGTCTCTGTGAATTACTCTTTTGTCTTCCCCAAGACCAGAGTGAAGGTACTTGAGCCCTTTCGCTGCACCTAAGCAAATCTTTAAGCGTTGTGCCCATGTTAAGCCACGAATCTTATCCGGCTTTTGGAGATGATGATCAAGGCTTTGATTCTTAGCAAATTCGGAAACTATGATCATCTCATTGGCCTCATCACAGTAGCCAATGAAAGTAATGATATTTGGATGATGGAAACTGGAAATCATCTCGAGTTCATTACGGAACTCGTTGTTTCCTTGACCACCATCCCGATTAAGGCGTTTGATGGCTACTGTGCGTTCATTCCATTCTTCAGAGAGTTTCCCTATGTGGACGAAACCGAATCCACCATCTCCAATCAGAGTTTCTGAACTGAAGTTTCTTGTGGCCCGCAGGATTTCGTGGAGTGGAATCCGATACTTTTCTAGGTTTTCCCCTGAAGAAGACATTGTTTTTTATATATTGCTGATTTTTTTGAACAAAGAAACTGAATAAGAAAGCACGAACGCGTGGTGATTATGTATGGTAGATGGAGCTTTGTGGTGACCTGTTTATATAGATGTTTATCTACACAGAACTCATTTGTTTAAAAACTTGTACCTATATTGCCTTTGGCTTAAAGATTATTATATATAACCGTTGACTATGATCAGGTCCATGGAATAAATTAATCCCACTACTGCACATGATGGTGGATGAAGTTAATTTCTTCTTTATTTTATCTCAGCAAGACGTAAATTACATGCTAGAGTACTGAAATATTCAAGTTGGTAATTAATCTTGGTCTTTGTCATACCTTCAGCGTTGTGGATGGTTTAGCAACTCAGAAATCCATCTCCACATTTTTAAGGGCAAGTTCTTTTTTTTTATTTTTTTTTATTAATAGTCGTAGACCATTGCCAAACCATTGATCTGGTGGAATTGATGTTGTAATCCGTTGACAAATACTTGGTGAGTTGACAAATACCTTCTAACTTCTCTCTAGTTTTTTGCTTTAATTTAAGTCTGGTAGCCAGGGGCGGTCCTAGCTAGGTGCCCGGTGTGGCACCGGCAACACCTAGCTTCCGCGCACGTAATAGAAAAAATTTCGTTTTTTTTTAATTTTTACCTATTGTGCCACTACGTAAAAAAAATCGTGCAACTACTAAAAAAATTTTGTGCAACTAGCCAACTACATAAAAAAATATTGTCACTGTATCGGGAATTACCAAACGAAAAAAAATAATAACGAGCCCAAATGCCCAATCTTTTAATCAATTATTGTGTAATAATTCAATTACCCAAAGCCCAAAATAAAACTTAATTGGATAAATTAGCAATTGGGCTAATTGCTTGTAAAAAAAAATAGCCCAATCCTAATTAATTGAGTATTATCGGTTGAAATTTTTTTTTTTCACGATTGCAGAATCGAAATTAGACTACTCGACTTCCTAATTTGCGTCCAAAAATCCTTCGACCAATCGACCTTCGTCCTTCGATCGTGCCTTGGCAGACTCGTGAGTCGTGACCTCACAATCGTTCATCCTTGATGACTTGATCGATTTCATTGTTGGATGATCGATCACAATCCTTGATCAATTTCCACAATTCTCTTGAAGACT